AACAGGATCACTGTTGTGCTACACAGCATTTCCCTACTAAGCAGAAACCATTTTATGTTAAATCTCTTTTCTGTTTTCTTGAATTAATGCACAGTGCTAACTTTGTTATTGTGCTAAGATCCCATGGTTCCTCTGCATTACAGAGTTGAGGTATTCTGGATCTTTTCAATGTTCAGTGTTAGATTTTCCTTTTTTAAAAGAGGTGATATTCCTAATAGTTGGTATGAGGGGTCGTATGATGGAACATTCACCCCACACTAGTCTTCGGGGAGTTAAAATAGGCAAGAACAAACAATTGTTCATAGTCTGCACCTGTAGGGGAGCTAGGATCCAAGGAAACTTAACTGGAAATGAAGCTCACCTGCACAAAAGCAGCTGGGGCTTCTATAAAGCCAGGGAGCTGGCAGCAGGGAAGAGGGCCATATAGTCAGAGGCCTGCAGCGATACTACCTGATACAAGGTGGAGGGAGGGGGTGGTACCTGTAATAGATAAGTGGCATAGGAAGCAGTTGAAGGAAAGAGCAGTAAGGACTGTGCAGGTGAAGATCTGAAATGCTGATTTGACTGATCCTGGATTGGAACTCAGGGTAGAAGGTGGACCTGAGTTCCCTTACACGGGGCAGCCTATTTGGGGACTGCCAGAGACTGTTTGAAGGGAGGTTTTGATGATCATGTGGAATGCAGTAGAATTTCCTGTGACTTGGGAATGGGATTAAGCCAGGAAAATGAAAGCACTACAGCATTGGGAACATGAGAGAAGCCATGGAGTAAGAGAGCAAGGGCTGAATAACCTCAGGGGCATGAGACCATGTGGTAAATTAATCATTAATCCCCAGATGGGCCTCTAGGAGGCGCCAGAGTGGTAAGAGTGCCTCCTGTGACAGGCATGTTACTCCCATGCTGCTAAGAATATCTCTTTTGTAGATTGTTTTCATGAAGTTGTAACTCAACCCAACTACTGAATACTTTCTAAGGAATATATTATTTCAGATTTACTTTATTGATATTAGAAAATACTTGTATTCCACACACTCCACTGAACTCACTTTGGATTTTTTATGTCAGAGGAATTATGTCTGGGGAAAAATGAACAAAAACTAAGGGAATTATGTTTCTAGAAAATCTCCAGTTAGGGTGAAAATGTGACAATAAGGACTTTATTTTCATCAATACCATAACAGAGATCCTTTGCCTCCTTCTACAGACCTAGAAGATAACGTTAGATGGTATCAATAATTTAACAAATAGATTTAGGGCCAAGAAGCCTCATTACAATGTATTCTAAGAATTGTAACTGTCCTAATTTCCCCTGCTTCTTAAGTTAAGTAAATGCTCTACCTGAGGCTGGAGCCTCATTTAATCAGACCCAAGTGCAGTTTTAAGGATTATTCTAAAGGAGCATTCAGTATATTCAGCAATTACTCCATACCCTAGGCATGCCATCTCAACATGTTTATTCGTAATTTATCTAAGGAGCAAGACTTCCAGTTCAGTTTTTAACCACTTCTTAGTCCAAGAAGCACTCAGTTCTGATATAGGCTCTGTGACTTCTTGATTCTAATGGAAATGCAAATACCATCTGAACCTGGCACCAGTCCATACTATCTATATAAATAAAGGTAGTTATGAACCAAACTATTCAAGGGAATGAGGTTATGACACCAAATAATTTACACAAGTAACTGACTAGTTCACTTACAGAGTACAGTCCTGTTGGTCACAATTTTGTATACATTTATATAAAAATTAGATTTGCATGAATGTTGGATTGCCTTCTGAGATTATATACAAGATACACTTTGCACTGTTTACACTTGTGGTCTGATTTTTTTTAATGTTTCTCTAATTTTACTGGACTTCCCATGTAGATCTCTCACACACATACTACCCACCTTCCCTCTGAAGCCTGAGAAAGTGAGTTGCAGCTCTAGTGATCTTCCACCTAACTTGGCAAACACTCACATACTAAAGTAGTGGGCACCAGCAACAGAACCCCTAAAAGGAAAAGGTCTACCATGGTATTCTCTGGCTGAGAATCTTACATGATCCACCTTCCTAGGAAAGAGAGTCTCTGAGGTGTCTACCTTTTCCACAGTTTTGGCAAGTGTCCCTATATCCAAATAAAGACCTAATAGGTGCTGTTCTAGCTCTTTCTTTTTATTTTGGGATTAGGCAGAGTTAGAGAGGCACGGATCAACACCTCAATCTGGCTGGCAGCTGTCTTTGTATAGTTATTATTTATTATATTCAGAACAGCAAGTGGGCAAGTAATAAGGATTAGTAACAGGGCGGTTTTATTTAATTCGGCTTTTAAGCTGCTTTACTCAATAAAATCCTTTAAAACACTGAGCTTATATTTTTAAAGCTACCAATACACTACCATGTATGTGACTCTGCAGCTTACTTTCAGGAAAGATTAAACATTTATATACCGTATCTGAAATTATTATTGATTACATTTTGCTGTTGTAGACCTATTTTGAAGATACGGTAATTTAGGGTTTCAGTGTTAGATGGGAAGTGGGTTCAAACTGTTTTGTGGCAGAAATTACAAAAGCTATAGCAGTGTTGCCAACCCATGCAATTTTTATCACAAATGTCACAATATTTATTAGGGTTTCTTCTTAAGCCCCAGCTCCTGGGGATAGGGGAATCAGTGAAAAAATCTTGCCTTTTTTTAAAGTAAATTTTTAGTATTTTGTAATTAAAGAGAAATGCTCGAAAATGTGTTCCAAGCACACCAGAGAAGCTTTAAAAACCCCCACCAAACATCTCCCTTGAAAAAGACCCTCCAGAAAGCAAACAGAAATAACATTTTTTCATGATTTGCATGGTAATATTCTAATTGGGTGTGGGGGCTGCTTCATGATTATTTGAGTGCTTGGGGGTGGGAAATACTGCTGAGGGGCCAAAGACACGCAAGAGGTAGTATACAATCCATAAATAGGGAACTACCTTATCTAAGGACATAGTTATCACAGTTTCAAGGTAACTGTGTTTCCCCCCTCCATAGTCCATTTCACCAGTGCCTAGTCAGGTCTCAGATCCCTACATGTTACTTAGCTGTGGGCGGGGACCAGGGCTGGCCTTACCATGAGGTAAACTGAGGTGGCCGCCTCAGGTGCCAGACTGTCGGGGTGGGAAGGGGGTCGCCACTTAGACCCAGCGTGTAGAAAATTGTGTCTGCTGCTGGTGCATATGTATTCTCTCTGCTCTAGATGCACAGAGAGGGTAGAGTGCTGAGCTGGAGGAAGGAGGGCACAAGAGACATAACAGGTAGGCAGGAGAAAAGGTGGCATGGGGGTGTCATTTGAGCTCCCCTCCTCAGGTGCCAAAATGTTGTGGGTCGGCCCTGGCGGGGACATTTGACCCACTTCCTTCTGCCTGGGGAGAAGGTTTAAGGTTGCACAGCTTCCTGACTTACACTATGATATCCCCAGCAAGACATTCTGCCTCACCACTCATTCCTATATGTTGCTTTCTTTTCAAGGGCTCTGAATAGTGTTTTTGTCAGCCATTACAGCCCTTTCTAAGCAAACACATGTTTTGTATTATGGCAATAGTATTGCAGAAGAAACCTAGAAAAAACAATATGTTGCTATATGCCTGCTAAAATCTTACCAGTCAGTCTTCAGGGGCCATTGTTTTTCCTACTCTTGCCCAAGAGTGGGGCTCTTCATGGACACAAAGTCCTGTCCATTTTCTGGATCCTAAAGAAGCCCAGAAGTGAATTCAAGATCATCCTTTTATACCAAGTCGTTTGTTTATTTCTTTGACTCTGGAAAACTCAGCCTGAAACAGTATATGCAAAACACCCCATGGGTTGGAATCTGTCTTGAGTTGTTTAGTCTCAGTGACTTGCCTTAATCACCTATCACTGTTGCTTCATTCTTAGAGGAGCTCCTATTGAGTGGAATGGGATGCAGTCACACAAAAAACAGTCATAAATGTAATATGGTGGTCTACCAATTCACTGCATATGGTTGCAATATCTGCAACAGTTGTTAGTCAGAATTGACAATGAAGGTAGATCAACCAAAGGATGACTTTAGTGAACTTATGTTAATAGTCTCAGAATTGTATTGTTGCTATTCAGGAGACTATTGTTAATGATTTCTGTGGATGGAAGTGAAGATGAGATGGAATATATATTTCTGTGTTTGTGGATAGTGGGTTTTTAAAATCTATATCATGCTGTAGAAAATATTAATTGTAAGATATTCAGGCTCTAGCCTGTAGGGGAGGCATAATATGATTATTAATGTTTCTGCTATTATATACATTTTAGGGTACTCATTTGAGATATTAATCCTTGGAATGATTGTTCACACTCCTATGTTTGAATCCTATGAGGAGCGTTGGGGATGCTTCTGATTAGACCGCAGCAGCTATGTTTGCTGTGTGTGCAGTTTCTGAGGCCTTGCCACTGGAAGAAGCTGCTGCCACTAAATTGTCCTGAGTATTCTCCTACTGCATTTCCATAAGTGTTCTGCCTGCCTCTGAACTCTACATGAACATTTATTCTAATCATGGTTATTAGTGCAGTGTCATTGCTAGCATGTGGCAGTGGCCAGTAATGCTACTACAAGACCAGCCCTCCTTTTCATCATGTGAACTCTTTCAGATACTTTCTTTAGCCTATTTCTTAGATTCTCTCTTCCCAATCCCATTTCTACTTCTCTACACTAACCTCTTGGTTCTCCTGTATATGGTCTTACTTTGTTCAAGAGAAAGTTGTCTGTAGGAATTGTCTTTATTTTTCTTTGCCTATTTGCTCCATCACCTTCAAATTTCTAGCTAAAGTCTATCTTGTCCCTCTTGCCTCTGACTCATTTTCTTCTTTAAATCTCTTCAAAATGTTATGCTGACATATGATTCTATATAATTAGTTATTAATAATTCTGGAAGTGAATTCTTAAATTAAAGTATTTTGGAATAGTTGGTCTACACAGCACTGGATACAATAATATAGTATTGCATTGTTCTGGATATTTTTGCAGAAGCCCTGTGCTGGTGTTCCAGTGCTTGCACCGCCATGTCATTTGCCTAGACTGCTTCCATTTATACTGTGTGACTATGCTGAATGATCGCAAGTTCATCCATGACCCTGTGCTTGGCTACTCTCTCCCATGTGTTGGTAAGTTTGGGTGAGTGGGTGGGTTGGTTGACTGATTTTAAATCATTCTTCCCCTAACCAGGAGGAAAAAAATACTGTTGATTTCAAATCAAGTTGTAGAGTTTTGTGTGTGTTACCTTTTAAATACATCTGTGGAATTATAATGTGTATTGTTTCATCTGATGGGAAATATTTTTATTATTAAAATAGCCCTTCTTGCTTTGCATGTGATCTGGCTCTGGAGTATTTAAAGTTCATTTCTTTTGTGAACAAATGCATACATTTTTCACATTAGTATGTCATCATCCTAAAGCTAAAGGATAAGTGTGATAAGCTGCTACTTAAAAAAAAAAAAAAAAAAAACCTTTGACTTCTTCATGTCTTATTTAGAGTCAAATAAGACGTTAACTTTATTGACCTATCTTCAAGTGCTAATAAGAAAAGTACTGAAATAAGAATTTCAAATAGCTTTTCAGTTGGTGAAGTTATCTCTATTAATTGCCGGTACATAGAATGAAATACAGATCACCAAAGAAGTTGTAACATTATCTACCATACCTGACCAGGAAGTGAAATTTGGATTATGTAGAACAGGAAGATTTATGTTGTATCTCAAAGATCTGTTTTGATAGATTCAACTTTTTGTCTCTGATCTATCACACTGTCAAATGGAAAGTAAGTATCTTATAAAGTTGGTGTGCAGGACTTCAGTAGAATTTATTTTGTAAATTACCTTCCCTTCACTTTACAAGCTGCAAGTCAAATGGATTTGCCTTCACTGTTAGAGTGAATAGCTAATAACAGATGGAAGAATAATTGTGGACATTTCTTATCAGAGCACCATGTTCTATCTAAGGGCTTGCCACAAAGATATTATTAAATATACCAGAATTAAAAACAATTTGATTATCTGTATTTACAGCTGCTTTTAATTATTTCAGTAGCATCTTAGAAATGGCCACAAGTTCACATTTCATGACACTTCATATGCTGCTTATATTTTTAGCCAGGCTTCATTTTAAACGTGGTAACCTCATTTTCTATTATTTTGTGAAATGGTATGTTGCATAAAAGGTTTCCTTTTCTTCATTCCTCTATAAATAAGATATGTAGAGCATGTTGGTTAAGATGATTTGTTCTCCTCTCAGTGTTCCTTCCTTGGTTTTTATCATAATGTCTGTATATTCAGTATGTCTCTGTCTTCCTGCCTCTTCTCCCTTTCCCAAAAAATAATCAGTTCTCTGCCCCACATACAAATTAATCACGTGTTTTTCCTCTTCCTCTCTTTGTTCATCAGTCCGCTTACAAGTATTTTCATTTGTTCCCAAAAGAAAATAATTTCCTCAGTAGCTGCCCTTCAGACCAATAGCAGCCAAGTTAGCCCTCAATCAGATGTCTTACTCCTGTAGCACTTCCCCCAATTCACGCCTGATATTCTCACCTGATCACTCTTCAGCTTTGCTCCTACCTGCATCGTATGTATGTATGTATTATAGAATCCTAATGTTGGAACGACATCAGGAGGTCATCAAGTTCCTGCTAAAAATAGGACCAATCCCAACTTTGTCAAGCCGAGCCTTAAAAACTTCTAGGCAGGGAGATTCCACCACCTCCCTAAAGAACCTGTTCCAGTACTTTACCACCCTTCTAGTGAAATAGTTTTTCCTAATATCCAACCTAGACCTCCCCCACTGTGACTTGAGATCATTGCGCCTCATTCTGCCATCTGTCACTACTGACAACAGCCTCTCTCCATCCTCTTTGGAACACCCCCTTCAAAGGCTGCTATCAAATCCTTCCTAAATCCTCTTTTCTGAATACTAAATAAGCCCATATCCCTCAGCCTGTCCTCATTAGTCATATGCTCCAGCCCCCTAATAATTTTTGTTGCCCTCCACTGGACTTGTTCTAGTGTGACCACATCCTTTCTGCAATGGGAGGCCAGATTTGGCCTCACCAGTGCTGAATAAAGAGGAATAATCACTTCTCTAGATCTGTTGGCAATACTCCTAATGCACCCTATTATGTTGTTAGCTTTCTTGGCTACGAGGGCACACTATTGACTCATATCCAGCTTCTCATCCACTGTAATCCCCGGGTCCTTTTCTGCAGAACTGCTTCTTATCCAGTCAGTCCTGAGTCTGAAGCAGTGTTTGAGATTCTTCCATCCTGAGTATAAGTCTCTGAACTTGTCCTTGTTAAACGTCAGATTTCTTTTGATCCAATCCTCCAATTTATGTGGATCACTCTGGATCCTAACCCTGCCATCCAGTGTATCTACTTCTCCCCCTTGCTGAAAACTTGCTAAGGGTGCAATCCATCACCTCAGCCAGGACATTAATAAAGATGTTGAATAAAACCTTCCCCAGAACTGACTAAGGATGTTAAAATTAGCTTATTTTAGTAATTGAGTAGTCTCAACTGCTAAATTACTCAATAGCGTAAGGCAGCCAGTTCAGTCCTGGCTCACACTGGGACCAAACTCCACTGCAGCTCTGCGATTTAAAACGCAGCAGAAGCCGAGCAGCCTCCCCCCATCTGCTACTGCATTTTATATTGCAGGTTGGCAGCAGGGTTTGGTCCCAACGCAAACTGGGACTGAGCCAGGCTGCCTGCCCAGATGGTATCAGCCCCCGTCTGTGGTGCCTGGCCTCAGACAAGGGCTGCTGCCCCCTTCTCATAGATCACTTTCCTCTCTTCCAAGTGCCTCTGATAGAGGCAGTGGTGGGGGTGGAGATGGTGCTGGGGGGAACCAGCTTTTAAGCTGGCTCCCTCCAGCACTGGCTCCTGCCCCCTCTCCTCCTTGCTGTTTCTGATATAAAGGCAATAGGCAAGGAGCAATGTGAGTAGTCATCTTGACTACCTGATAAGTTTAGTCATCTTGACTTACCTGATAAGTCATCTTGACTACCCTTGGGACACTCCACTTGTACTGACCCTTGGGACACTCCACTTGATACTGACTGCCAATCAGACATTGAGCTGTTGATCACTACCTGTTGAGCCCAACAATCTAGCCAGCTTTCTGTCTACCTTAGAGTCTATTTATCTAATCCACACCTCCTTAACTTTCTGGCAAGAATACTGTGGGAGACTGTATCAAAAGCTTTCCTAAAGTCAAGGTATATCACATCCACTGCTTTCCCCATGTCCACAGAGCCGGTTACCTCATCATAGAAGGCATTAGGTTTATCAGGCATGACTTGCCCTTGGTGAATCCATGCTGACTATTCCTGATCACTTTCCTCTCTTCCAAGTGCTTCAAAATGGTTTCCTTGAGAATCCCCCTCCATGATTTTTCTGGGTAACTGAGGTGAAGCTGACCGGTCTGCGGTTCCCCAGATTCTCCTTCTTCCCTTTTTAAAAGATGAGCACTACATTTGCCTTTTTCCAATTATCCAAACAAATAAAACCCCTAGAAGCTTATCTTCTCATATAATTGTATAACTTAGGGTTATAGACTATGTCTAGACTACAGGCTTTTGTCGACAGAAGTTTTGTCGACAGATACTGTCGACAAAGCTTCTGTTGACAAAGAGCGTCTAGACTACATCCAGTTCTGTCGACAAAGCAAGGTGCTTTGTCGACAGGAGAGTGTAGACGCAAAGGACAGTGTAGATGCAATAACGCCTTCTATCAACAGAACTCTGTCGACAAAAGGCGTTATTCCTCATAGAATGAGGTTTACCACCATCAACAAAACTGCTGAGTTCTGTCGACGTTATGTCAACAGAACTCAGCGGCAGTATAGACAGTTTTGTCGACAAAAGTCCACTTTTGTCGCCAAAACCCTGTAGTCTAGACACACCTTATATGAGCTGAGGACAAGGCCCCCACATGCGGAGTGGGGGAGAGTATATTTGATCAGGTCTTGTGTTACAATTTTCTACTGGGCCAGAAAAAATTATGCTCAGGCCCTAGCTGAGAATTCAAGAACAACAACCTCATCTTGGGTCTCATAATATAATCATGGGAGTTGATGATAGAACTGTGCAAGGTCTGGAAATGTTTGGGTGTCTTTGATGAAATTTTGCATTTTGTAGAAGCTAGTTGTATTAGTTCTATTTGCCCAGGAAAATTCTGTAGTCAACCTGTACACATGAAATGTAGAGCCTCTTCATCTCTAAAGTATAAACCCAATCTGAGCCCTAAATTCTGGTGGTGATTGAAAGATCACTGATTTTTGTCCTATGGCAAAAGAGTCCATGATCTCTTCAGTTTCTGGTGAACAGATGTTTACATATCAGAATTGATATTAGCTGACAGTTATCAGCAACCTGATCTGTGTGTCCATGAATTGGTCTTGGAAGGAAATTTAGAAAGATATTTAGGCACCTAAAGATATAGATAAGAGCCTAATGTGATGTTCAGAAATGCTTAGACATGTAGCTTCCATTTTTAGGTGCTTAAATATCTTCTCACATCCAGCCCTTCATGACTGATTACCTCCTTTCTCTTATAGATAGTCCATCAGAACAGAGTGCCACAACTGTGGGGCAGTGTTGGAAATGAGCTGCTATTAGCTGCTCTGTTTCTTTCAAGAATGCAGACTTCAGCCACCTGGGCCATCAATCCAGTACCATTTACCAATTTTAAATTCAGATAGAAAAATACAGGACAATAATGTTTGATGCTGAGTTCCAAACACCATGGTGATGTTTATTAAATAATACACCATTAGTATAATTATAATATTTAATCTTTAGAAAAATATAGATATGTTTGTCTCAACTTTTTCTAGCTTGCACATAAAGAGATCCAGAAATGATTTCCTGTCAGGTAGAACAGGTGTTATGGTGCACACTAACCAATTATTATTTATCCACTATAATTTTTCATAACCAGGAATTAAGACAATACAAAAAGCTAGATCTACTTCATCAGATTTTGGGGTATTGAGATCTCTAGTTTGGTTTGGGATGAGCTCTAACAGGAATGTGGAACTAACCCACATTTAGTGTAATGAGGCTAATACTGTCAGGAGGTAAACAGCTATTCAGTACACACAAGCAAATACTTTT